TTTTTTTTTTTGTCTGTTTACTTTATCTAGAATTGGGAGTTCAAGCCCATTCCATAGCATTCGTTATTTGCTTTCTTTTCTTCTAACAGGTGGATGGAAAAGGATCTATCAAAGAACTGTTCCCAACAGGGAAGCAGCTTGAGCCACTGGTTGCCCCTTTAGCAGACAGAAAAGTTGCAGTTGGCCAAGATGATCTAACAGTAGTTCTTAATGAAGAAGGGGTCTGTACCCAGAAATGTGCCTTGAATTGGACAGATATTCCCATAGCTATGGGTGAGGACTTAGCAGCAGTTTCTTTTCTTTCCTTATCAGACATTCAATGGTGACTGGTTTTTACTCACTTAAGTTTTTGGCCCTTATGAATGGAACCAAACTAAACTTTTACTATTTTAGGCTGCTTGTAGATGTTAGACACAAACAAACAAAAAAACCCCCACCCCAAAACAAAATGGTAATTTACTTTAAACTTGGCCTGCTCCTGCGCAGAGCCCAACACATACCCAGAAGAGGCAGCATGCTAGTTGGATCTGGCTCATCCAATGTTTGTCTAGATCGGGCGCTTTAGCAGGGCTTTTTTGGTGCTTTTATCTAATAGCTGATTGAATTGATAAAAATGCCAAAAAGCCCCACTGAAGCACCTAACGGATACAGGTGCTGCAGAGCCAGGTCAAGGTTACACTTTGCTGCTTCTGTTAAAGCACATTTTTTTAACATCTGCAAGCAACCTTAATGTATAAGATTTTTGTTTTTAGCTTGCAACTTCTCTTATTAAGAACATCTGAGCACTCAGTAGTATATCCTCATTTCTGTCTTGAGCAGAGTTGTATGCATGGTATTTCTATTTCTTCTATTTGCTCTCAATTTTGTTTTGCTTCCATTTCCTTAATGGTAAAATGGAGATAATCCCCCTTTGCAAAGTTGTTTGAAATTCACATGTGAAAGGCAGAATGTAAGTGCCAAGTATTTCTGGAAGTAAAACCTTGCTGAGGCTTTTGTCAGCCTTTGAGTGTCATGTAGGTGGGTGAAGTGTCATGGGGTGGGTGAAGAGAGAAACACCTATAATGTACTAACAAATTATTTTAATTTCAAGTGTCATTCTCTGTCATGTATTAAGGGGGAGGTAAAAGGCACAGTTTACTAGAAACTTCTGATAAAAAGTTATTCTATGAGTCATAGCCTGTTACAGCATATACTGGAGAAATATCAGTCTGCTTGTTTAATTTCCCAAATAGAACATCAGCCTCCGTACATCATTGCTGTGCTGCCAAGATATGTAGAGATCCGTACCTTTGAACCACGGCTGCTGGTGCAGAGTATCGAACTGCAGAGACCACGCTTCATCACATCTGGAGGGTAAGAGAGCATTTCCTTTTTTCAGTCTATTCATATCCCTTGTCTCTTTCCTCTTTGACAATTTCTATGAACTGTTCCATGCCAAACTGGAACTAAAACAATGTTAGGAGTACTGTCATCACTGTCTCTCTAGATTTGTAGTCAGACTTGATGACTTGTGGTTAACAACCCTAATAATCAGTCCTCCCCAAAAAAGCTGTGCTGCATTTACAGTTACTGGGTAGGTGGTGATACTATTCTCTTCCATTCTCTTGCATTCTGTAGACTATACTAGTATGTTTTTACTGTGCTTTTTCCTTCTGCTGCAGTTTGGCACCAAGCATTTGCATCCTCATTTCTCAGTGTTAAACTCTTTTTGATTTAGTTTACCCTGGTAATTTTTTGTGTACAGTATATTTGCCCTCCACTTGGTCAAAGGTGAGCACTGACAAGGTTGCACCAAACCTGTTCTGTGAAACTCTCTACTGGGATACTACTCATGCTTACCTGGTACATCTTGATAACTGGCCTCTTCTTCTTCCTCTTCTGTTTGTAGTACGAATATTGTATACGTGGCCAGCAATCACTTTGTTTGGCGTCTTATTCCAGTCTCTATTGCAACCCAGATACAACAGCTTTTACAAGACAAGCAATTTGAACTGGCTCTACAATTGGCAGTAAGTACCTGTTTCTTGGTATAGAAGCATACAGCAGAATCTTTTTAATGTTTTGATTGGTATTGTTGCTACCAACTACTACTGCTGTCCTGATATCTAACCTCCCTATTGTGGGCCTTGCACAAACTGTTTCCTCTTGGCTAATTCTTTAGCTATATTGCAACTCCTGGGCTCTTGGCTGTAGTTCTTTTGTTGCCAGTTCTCTGGTTTTATAGACTGGGGTTCTATATCTTCTTATGGATGTCGTCTATGATGATGATTTTTTCCCATAGACCTTTGTAAAGAACATGGTATTTTCTCGGTAGACTTTTGGTCAATCAAGGCTTCCAAACCTTGTACTCAGACCATTTAACCATTTTTGTGGCTCTTTAGATGACCACGATTATTCTGAGCAGTTGTGTAGGTCACCAGTCCATCCACTAAAAATGCCATAGACTCCTTAAGATGCTATGGCCTGTATGGGTGCTAAGGCTATCGTAACTTCATCCTTGCTTCACTAAAACAAAGCAGGACAGGGTGCTCTGACATACAACTAAAGCAGGGTTTCTCAACCTTCAGTCCATGGGCTGGATCTATCCCCAGCACTGTCATCCAGCTTGTGGGGTTCCCCACAGGCTCTAGAAACGTGTAGGCCTGGGTGGCCCCTGAAATCCAGTCTTGATGCATGGGAGGCAGCACCTGGTCCCAGTACCCAATTTAGCTCACAGGCAGGCCCCATGCCACTCATTTGGCCTGCAGGGTCAAAATATTGAGCCACTATTGCACTAAAATTAGTAAAAAAACCCCCGAAAAACAACCCCCCCCCACTGTATAGTGTATGTATGGAAGGCTAGAGGTTGCTCCCTCTTTTTTGTGTAACTGTAAACCCAGTAAATTTTTAAATTCTTTTTGATTTATTCTTCTAAGAGAGATCAGAGGTCCCTTTAGAGGTCCTAGATAACATATTTTCCAACGTTTCATGGCCGAGGTAAAAATATGCCAAACTAGCTACTTCTGCTGAGGCTACATTCCTCAATATTTTTCTTGAAATACCTGATCTGAGTAGACAGAGAACCTGGTCCATCTGCCCACAGATCTAGATGACTTGGTGTACTGCTCACAGCAGTGGTGCCCAACCTTTTGGGTTTGTGGGCTAGATGAGTGATGCCAGGTAAGTGTGCAGGCTGGATCTGGTCTGTGGGCATGTGGCACTGGTCCAGCTGGGTCTGATCCTACTGTGTGGAAGTAGCCTGGCACTAATTGCCACTGCTTCCCTGCTGTCAAATGTCTTGACTCTATGGGACACTGCAGATCAGATGACATTTAGTTCTGTGGAACAGATCTGGCCCACAGGCCAGAGGTTGAGCACCCCTGCTTTTGAGCCTTTAAATCAAGGCTGGTATAATGGCAGGGAAATGGGACAACTCCCTTTAATGTCGTGGTGTAAAAAAAAGCGTACCCTCATTTGCCTTACATTGTTGCAGTGTCTAGAATAAAGTGTCAAACTTACTCTTCGGGGAAGCAAATTCAGTTTACAATTACAATTCTTGGGCCAGGGTATAAAGTCAGGATTTACATACTCCCTGCTTCATATAGGCTTGTCTGAACGGCAAATGCAGCATTTCATAGAGAAAGGCAGGAAACGGGCCTTTAAGTTATCGCTCAACTACTTAGTTATGTTCAGTAATGTCTTGTTGTTAGTTTTGCACAGGGATGTTGCCTCATGCCCATTTTGCTGCTTCTGCCCTTTTCTGTGCAAGAGATCCCCATTCTTTTTCCCTTTCTCTGCATTCCTTTCCTTGCAGTAACTTAAGCTCTTCCCTATGTTAGTGGACTTTTCTACAATCTCTTATCCTACTTCGATGCAAAATTAAGCAACCAAGTAGTTAGTGCTTATACTTAAGCCACATACAGATGTTCCATTTCTACCTGGAGAATTGCCATTCTCCCTGTTGAACCCAAAAGTGTGCAGACATTCAAGCTTTTTCTCCCAGAACAACAATGGCTACCCCAAGAAAAGAAGAACCCAGGAGCAACCAGATTTACAGTGCTCCTGGGAGACTAGATGTCTGCACCCTTTCCTCAGGCTTGACTTCTCGTGGGGACCAGGCATGGGAGCCAAAGCAGAGGCTCCTGTGCCTTCTTGAGAGCTTAGTCAACCCAGTTGGAGACCAGTGCAGAGGGAACGGGGGGGCAGCTGCTCCTCTGCCTCCCCCAACCCTCCCTCCCCATAAACTGGGGGGAAGTTGGGGGAAAGAAGGAGCAGTCCCAGCTGCTCCCTGTCTGCTTTTTACACACATTCCCAGCATGAGAAGTAGACAAGAGCTTTGTTATGTCACTCCCCCAGCTCAGTTCCTGAGTAGTGGGAACAGAGTGCAGGGAGCGTGGCCCCCTGACCTGCCTCCTACTCAGCTGAGTGGCTGGGGGGTCAAGCCAGGTCTTTGGTGGCTTCACTTTGCCTTGCCCTGCTGTTCAGCTGAGCAGCCCGGTTGACAATTTGAAAAACTGGAAGGCACAGGGGCCTGGTATGCTGAAGCCTTCCCAGGTCTGCCTCCCAGCCCTGCCAGTTTCCATTTGCTGCCCAGCTGACTGGGAGCAGTGCAGGGCGAGGCAGGCTGCTGTGGGAGCCTTGCTGCCTGGTAAAATTACCCTGCCTAGGCCCACATTGCTCGGGGTCAGCCTGTCTGCAGTGCCACGCCCCTGCAGCAAAGCTCATGGAACCTTGTCTTGCTTAGGATTATAGGTGGTTTTGTGTGGCTTTCCAACTTCTGGGCTATTTTGTACCAGAAGAAATTTCTTCTGATTTAGAAACAAACATCTGTATGCAACTTAACTTCACTAGGCATCGTAGCACAGACAGGAAGGTTCTAAATCCTGAGCCACTGTTTCAGGTTGTCTGCAGATCAGGGTAGATAACAGCATATGTATTATCTAGATTGCTACAGTAATCTTCCAGATGCAGTTTGGGCTCCAAACTTGGTTGCCATTTTAAATAAGTGATGTGGAAATGCCTTATGGGCAATAAATCCATCAGTCCATTTGACGTGTTTGGCCTTCAGGCTTTAACTAGGTTAGAGCCCCACTGTGGTAAGCATGAGATAAACACAGGCAGTGGCGGTCCTTGCCTCAGCAAATGGACAGCCTTTGACTGTGTCTTTCTCTCCTTAAGCATGCATGGAGGGAAGATTATTTATTCAGACACTGAGGGGGGAAGGCAGTGCTCTGGCCACTGTCGTAAGGTTTTGATCTTGGGTGCTACTGAAGTGTTTGTCACTAGCTGTAATGTGATTAAATGTCTTTCTCTTCCTCAATCACTTGCCCCTTTGGCTATTTTGCATCAAGCTACTATTAGTTCTGCCTGTCCTCAGCAAGCGTTTCTGTTTCAGAGACTGAGAAAGACTTGGGAAAATCCCAGGCTGGTTTCACTGAAATTTAAACTGCAAGACCTGTCAGTGTTTTCTCCTTATTTCTCTAACTTGTATTTAAGCACAAGAACTCTTGATATTCATAAGTTTTTGTGTTTGTGTAGGAAATGAAGGATGATTCAGATAGTGAGAAGCGGCAACAAATTCATCACATTAAGAACCTGTATGCTTTCAACCTCTTCTGCCAGAAGCGTTTTGATGATTCCATGCAAGTTTTTGCCAAGCTCGGTACAGGTAACTTGGTATAGGCTGGAATTGAGGAGTTTTGGAAAGGGGAGGCTACTGTAAATCTTTCTGGATTTGACTTAGAATGGAGGGTGGAAGAAAACCCACATTGTCGTTAACTCGGTGATGAATTTATTCAGACTTTTGTACATGGGGAAATAGCCTGAAATAGCTTTTCTTTACTACTTCCTGTATGTGTGCACTTTTTCCTTATTAAAAGTGCGTTTGTGGCTTTAGCCTAATCCACATCATTTGTTCAGAATATCTTTCCGTCTTCCTTATGTAGAGAAACTTTTTGGTGTTGAAGTCCCCTAATGCCCTATCAAAAGTATTACTGCATGGTCTAAGGGGTATCTGTAGGCTTTCCAGTTCCTGCTGTCTCAGCGTCATCCACGGCTAAAAAAAAAAAAAAAAAAAAAAAAAGTAATGACTTTGTGCCCAATTTCCTGTTCAACAGACATGAAGGTCTTGGAGTGAGAGCAAATAACAATCATGGGGAATTCTTTGAGTTATGAGTATAGAAAAGGATGAATGAATGGTTACTTTTAGACTGCATCCCTGCACTAGTGTTTATTGGGAGACTCGAGGGTTACAACCCACTGACTTCTGAGGAGATGCGAGTGCCAGATTCAGTTTTGAAAAAAGCAAGCAGCTTTTGAAAATTTTATCTCTAGTGTCTAGAGAAAAAAATTAAGAGCTCTAAGAGTCCTAATTCTTGTAAACTAATGGGAGTTAATAAATTCCATGAAACTGATACTTGTCTTATCCATCATTGTTGTGTAATATGGGGTTAACACTTGTCAGATTGGCAACCAGCTATGTAGTGTGGGTTTGTAGCTGAACAACTCTAATCACTAATTCTGTAAAAATACAGGATTTTGAAAAGCAGGATTTTGTGAGAATCACAAATAGTGATGGTGTGTGGTTGTGTTTTTGCTTAGATCCTACACATGTAATGGGTTTGTATCCTGATCTGCTGCCTACTGATTATAGAAAGCAGTTGCAGTATCCCAACCCTTTGCCAGTGCTCTCTGGGGCTGAGCTTGAGAAGGCACACTTAGCACTCATAGACTACCTAACACAGGTAAGTGCCATTACCCATCAACCTTTAGAAAGTGGGTTTTCAAGTTTCCTGGACTTAAATAATTAAGAGAAATAACTATTTTTCTCTGTTGAATTCTTTTAGCTAACTTGTCAGATCTAGTGGAGGATACCACCAAAGGCCATTGGCAGTTTTGAAGTCTTACCTGACTTCTTTTATAGTGTAAAAGTTAACATAGATTAACAATATGCTTGCCTGAAAATGTAAAACTGATGTTTTGGAGATTTACCCCTCTAATGGCTGTAAGCAATTATCAATTCTGTACTGCCATTTCCCTTCTTTTGACAAGAACATACTACAAGAATACTTGTTCTTCAGCTTTGGCTTGGTAGAGGGTCTGGCAGTGGGTGTAAGAATGCTATTTTAACTATATTTCCAGTTGTCCGAATGATGTAAGAACACATATTGAATCTATACTGAGATGCATGATGAGAGAAGTGGTGGGCATGTGTAATGAAAATCACAAGGGTGGTTTAGGTAGGCTGCCTTTTCCTTTCGAGTGATATTAACAGGTAAGTACATGGATTTTCTTTCTTTTTAATCCTATCTTGTGTTCTGCAGAAAAGAAGTCAGCTGGTAAAGAAGCTGAATGACTCGGACCACCAATCTAGCACCTCACCCCTCATGGAGGGAACACCCACAATCAAATCCAAAAAGAAGCTGCTGCAGATAATTGACACCACTCTGCTGAAGTGTTACCTGCATGTGAGTTCCATGCCTGACCTGGACTGTGTCTGTCTGTAAAATGCAGCATCCACTGGGGATTTGGGATGGAGGAATTAGGATAAAGAATAAATTAATTTCAGATTTGAGCCTTGATCACTTCATGAGCTCTGAAAGCTCTCTGTAAATCTTAATTTGGCTTTGGCTTTTTCTTCATTAAGAACACACAGTTTCAGTGGGAAAAAGCCCTTTCAGATTGCAGAGACAAGTAAGCATGTTTTTCATTTAATTAAATCTTCTGCAGTTAACCAGATGAATATTGGAGATCTTCACTCCTGAGGGTGTTTTCTTGGGTTCTCCCCGGGCCCCTTTAAAGTGGCCTCCAACCTAGGGAGGGAAGTATTACTGATGTATTGGCCACTGGCCACCCTCTGTTCCCCCCCGGACATCAAAGTGGAATTGCATGCAACAGGGACACAGTAGAAGACTTACTGTCAAATATTTGTTTCCTATGCTATTGACTCCTGTTGCTAACCATAAGCTTGGGATACCCAGTATGTGAATCAAGACCCAATCCCCACTCTTCCTTGTAGACAAATGTAGCCCTTGTGGCACCATTGCTACGTTTGGAGAACAATCACTGCCACATTGAAGAGAGTGAACATGTGTTGAAGAAGGCGCATAAATACAGTGAACTGATAATACTATATGAGAAGAAGGGGTTGCATGAAAAAGGTAAGTGGAATTGAGGAGTGAATAGAAGCATATGTTTGCATCTTAATTCCTTTCTGGCAGGAACCCATTCATCCATTTTTAAACTTACAGCCAGTATTTGTGAGTGGTTACATAGTGTCAGTCTCGATTGATTGTTTGTTTTTTGTTAAGTCAGCTTGTCATGTGTTCATTCATGTTGTGCCTGGCATATGCCATTGCGTGGACTTTTTTGTGCAACAAAGCCTGTGAGCAGGTATGCACAGGCATATTCCTTCCCAACGTACATTGTTCTGCTGGCATTGTGGAGAGGGCAAAAATATTTCTCTCTCCTCTGCCCCAAGTCTTTTGGAAACACAGTCTGAGGAAACTTTCTGAAACCAAAAAATAATTTCCTGACATCTCTGTTTTGCTAAAAGCTTTGCAGGTATTAGTGGATCAGTCAAAGAAAGCCAATTCGCCATTGAAGGGTCATGAGAGGACGGTGCAATATCTACAGCATTTGGGTAAGCGCAAACCATGAGCATGCTGAGAATTTCCCTTTTAAAGGGACACTTCCCATCTTCTTTCCTTCAATTTTGTGTATTGCTGTTCTACATTTTTGTAGCTTGTAACGCTAGAAGGGATCATTGTTACCTTGTTTGACCTGCATTGTATAGGCCACAGGACTTCTGTGAATAGAAAACAAACTAGTGTCTTTCTTTCAAAAACATCCCATTTTTAATTTTAGAAATAGCTAATAATGCAGAATTCACCACAGACTTGGCTTAGTTGTTCAGTGTTTGCTTGCCCACATTGTTAAAATTTGTGCTCTATTGCTCATTCTGTATACTGTGAGCTCATACCCATTTGTTCTTGCTGTATGTATGTCTGCTAGACTGAAGAACCATTTTTAAAGTATTTCTTATATGTGCACATTGGAGATGTATATCCCTGATCACCTTATCCCTTAATAATCCTTCTGGTAAGTTAAGTAAGTTGGACTCCTGGATCTTTCTTAAAAAGTGGTTTACCATTTTGATCATTGTGGTTCTTTCGTAAGCCATGACTCCTGTCCAGTTTTTCAACATCTTTCTTGAAACCCTAGCACCAGAACTGGGCACGGTATTCCTGTAACAGTCACAGCAGTGCCAACTGCAGCAGCAATGTTAACCACTCTACCCTTACTCAGTATTCTTCTGTCCAAGGATTACAGTCCTTTTGGCCACAGCATCATTCTGAAAACTTGTGCTCAGCTAATTATGCCCATGACATAAGTCTTTTTTTGTTTTGTTCTTTTGTTCAGTGTAATACTTTCCCAGGATAGAGTGTAGCTTTCTATTCCCAGAGGTGAACTTTAGCTGCATCAGTGCATATATTGTTTACCTATGTCCAGTGTACCTAGTGAATCCAGATGTGTTTTTTGTCATCAGCAGCCTGTCTTCCTTACTTACCATTCTTCTAATCTTTCTTCTAGGTCACTTAGTAAATAGTGACAGACTGACAGAGCCTACTGGTACCATGTCTGCTTGGTTCTGAGACCAAACTTTTAGACTTTCTAAAGCATTCCTGTAGCAGGCTCAAGACAATCTGCTCAGTGTTTGCTCTAGTGGTCAAGCCAGCCTGCTTGTGCTCCTTGGTCTCCTCTTTCTGCCTCCTACTTCTCATCTGCCATGACCTGATCTTTAGGGTTTTTAATAAGGGAGGCTGTCGACAGAGACTGGGTAGTCTAGGTATCTTTTCTCAGGGTGTGATCCTCCGGGCTACTCTGCCCCCAAATCCTATGGGATGAGACTCCTTTGAGACAACCTCAACTGAGCCTTACAAGCAATAATTGTGACCACCAGCAGCCCTCATAGTCATGTGCATGCCTTGCAGATGTTAGTTATATCAGTTACCTGTCCTAGGAGGCACTTTGCCTCAATATACAGTTTGGCTGTCCTGGCTTCTATCCCCTTTCTCTAGCTGGGCTCCTTTAGTCTAGGCCCATAGCACTGGCCCAGAGCTCCAGCCCCTCTGACTGTGGGCCCTGGCCCTGTTTTTTTCCTCCTTGGGCTCTGACCCTTGGCCCTCACAGCCCCACATCCTACCCTAGCAGGGTCCTAAGCCTTGGCGTGCCTCACCTCTGCAATCACCCTTTACTGCCACTTCCAGTCTGCTGATTAACTTCAACATGGAAGTAAGCTGTGGCTCCCCCCCCCCCCAAAAAAAAAA